AGGCGGCGGAGGTCGAAAATCTGTCTTACTTTTCCATTGGTTTTTGGGATAAGAAATAGTCGAGACAGAAATCCCCTTGACGAGTTTGATTTTTCTACTACACCTGAAGCAAGAAGATTGTTTAGCTCCTTCGTCATTGATGGCGAATCTCTTGTCTCGAATCTTACCATGTTTTCGTGAAAGGGAATAGATTTCGGTTTTTTTACAAAAGGTATTGAATAGCCTGTTATTATTTTTTGAACAATTTTGGGTGCTCCTAGTTGCAGCCAACATTGTAGGAAGTCTTTCAGTTGACCCCCTCGGAAATTGTCAAAATTTTCTTTCTTTTGCAAACTTCTTATCCTTTCGGGAGGAATTCCGTTGCCTGACTGCAACATTTTTTCCCGTCTGACGGCTGGTAGAGGGGCTTGCCGAGGGAAAGTGTTGTGAACGCCAAGTTGAATGTTTTCCCTTTGAAGAGGAAAGCATTGTAGGTTTTCCAAAGGTTTTGGTCTTGTCCTTCTTAGAAACAATTTTTGAAAACCTTGTGAAAACGTGGGTTAACCCGCCATTGTCTTTAATAAAGTTGTTAAGTTGTTTTTCGTCGAAAAGGTGTGTTGTTTACGGGTTGATACTATGTAATGCGCTGTTGAGGACGTCATTCTTTTCTTTAAAGTTTATGCGTCTTATTTTTATCAATTCTGCTCGATTTTCGGGCGGCGCGTCTCTATTTCTTAATTGTTCTCGATGCCTTAATCGAGATCTGTAGAAAGAGTCTCAGCAAGCGATCAGCATCTAACCCTTGCGATAGTAGCTGAATGGCAGACTATCAGGGTTAGACATTTGTGGATGGAATGTCCCGCAAATAAAAGTCACTGTTCTGCAGTGAGCTGACCCTTGTTGTAGTAGCTGAATGGCTGACTATCAGGGTTAATGATTTGTGGATGGAATGTCCGACAAATAAAAGTCACTGTTCTGTAGTGACCTGACCCTTGTGGTAGCAGCTGAATGGCTGACTATCAGGGTTAGTTATTTGTGGATGGGATGTCCGACAAATAACATTCACAGTTCAGTATTAAACTGAACTGGCAGTTAATAATTTATACTCTCGCATCTAAAAGAAAATACATACACAAATATAAAAACAAAAATATAATAGAGACAATACAAACCTGTGTTAACACTTAATTTCGAACGTTACAACAACGTTTAATAACAACTTTAAGCAAATGGCACTGGCGTATCGTCGGGTAAAACAAGCGTACTGAAGAGGCCCCCAAGGGCGCCGCGCACGCCGGCACCACTTCACGCTCCCCGCAGCGTCTCTCTCTGTCTCTCACTTATCTATCGCCGCGTCTCGCTCTAATCACACATACAGAGACATTCGACCGTAACTAGTGAGCATGTGTGTACTGTAAGGTAAGGTAGGTAATCTCCAATAGGTCAAGCCGAAGGCACAGAACTGAAATAAAGGATATGATGACCTAACAAGCATCGAAATCTAGATTTAAGTACACCAAATGCTCTTTCTATACAGTTTCGGGCCTTAACATGCACTTTAGTGTAGTTGTCTCCATTTAATCTTGGCATTCAGGATTGGTGTCATTAGGTAACTTCTTTGAGGGTAACCACTGTCACCTAAAATGTTATAAGTAATAGTAAATTTACAAAAAATGTTTAACATGGAACATCACCTGCAAATATTTTTCTACTAAAAATACTATTACGCAAAAACCAAACTGACTCGTCAGATCGTTGCAGAGCCTCTATATGATTTCGCAGTCCACTACTTGCCCATATATGACTGTCATGACTTGCACCACCAAACTCATTAACATTAGTGATTCTGAGATTACTGTCCTGGTACCTAAAATATTTAATTGAGATTAATCCTCAATTCATCTTAAATTTATTACAACAAATATTAAA